GGGCAGCTCTCAGGAGCCTGCCAGGAGCCAGAAAAGGCAGACGCCTTCCTGGTCTAGTGCGGAGATCGTGGGCCTCATTGAGGTTTGGAGGGAGGCCTCCAATGCCCATGATCTCCGCAGTAGGCACAGGAATGCTGCCGTCTACAGTCGCATGGCTGCCAGCCTGGCCACCAGATGCCACATGTGCAGCCAGGAGCAGGTGCGGAGCAAGATCAAAGAGCTGCGGCAGGCCTATGCCAGGGCCTCCCAACCAGGGGCTGACCTGGAGGCCTGCCCACAGTTGGAGGCCCTGGACCGCATCCTGGGGGGGGTCAAACGGTCCGTGCCCCCCTGGTCGTCATCGACCCCGGGACAGAGGGCCCTACCCCTGACACGGGAAGAGGAGAAGGACAGCAGCCAGGAGCCTGCAAGGAGCGTGCTCTGCACCCAGGACCCCCGAGTCAAACCGGAGAGCCCTTCTGCAGCCTCATCTGAGGCTGGGGAGGCCTCCACATGTGAGTGCCATCACGGTCCCCTTATGCGGGGGGGAGGGGGAGCCCAGGGACAGTGCGCGTGGGCCTTGCCGACCATGGAGCAGGCGGCAACCTGTGCCTCTGCTGTGCCATCCAGGACATGTGGCCCCAGCTGGGTGCCATGCAGGGGCCCTGGCCTGTTCCCCACATGTGTCTAAGTGTGAAGGCACATGACAGGCTCCTGACCCTGGGGAGAGACACTGCACACTGCCCTCTCTCCAGACGCCCTCTCCACACAGAGGCAGGGCATATCTCCCCTCCCCCCACCCACACACCACACTATAGGCAGCACAGGGGCTGGGGTACAGTCCTGGGCCAGCTCACACTCCCAGGGATAGCAGGTGCAAAGACCTGCAGTCCTTGCCTTGCAGAGGGGGGCTAGGTTTCACCCACTGTGTCCCCAGGGAGAACTGACCACTGCTCTTGTTTCACCACACCCACAGCACCTGTGAGTGCAGGACTCACCACCCCGCCTGGACCATCCACCCACACCCGGGCCAGCAGGCGCACCCACAACCTGGAGGAGTTCCAGAGGCAGCCGCTGTGCTTACAGGGATGGCAGGTCCACAGCCAGGAGCAGTGGGTGCAAGAGGACCTGCAGCTGCGGTGGGAGAGCTTGTGGGAGCCTGTAGGAGCAGGGCCCTGCCCTCCGCGAGCACCTGCAGGCCCTGGCAGACTGATTGCTGCCTCCTACAGCTCCAGCACCTGCGGCCGCCCCAACTATCGCTCCTCCTCCCACCTCTGCTCCCCCTCCCACTTCTTCTGCCCCCCCTGTCACTCCTGCCCCACCCTCCACACCCACTCCCACTCCCCCCCCCCCCCCCGGGAACGCTGAGGCTTCCACACCTGCAGTGCTGCGAGATGGGAGGGCTGGCAAGACCCCCAACCCTGAACTTCCCCTCCCCCTTCCCTTCCTTATTCCCCCCTTATTCCTCCCACCCCAGTTATGTTAAATAAAGAGTTTTTATTGTATATCAGGGAGGGGGAAGGAGGTGGGGGTGGAATGCCAGGCACAAGGCCCCAGTGGGGCACGCCAGGGGCAATTCAGTCCTCATCCACCTGGAAGCTCTCCCGAAGGGCCTCCTGGCTGGCAGCCATGCAGGGCTATGCATACTGGCCCACCAGGCGGGCAGCCTCTGCCATCCAGGCTGGCAGGAAAGCCTCCCCCTTTCTATTGCATAAATTGTGGAGCACAAAGCACGCTGCCATCACGTGCGGAATGTCGTGCTGGGAGAGGTCGAGGTGGGTGAGTAGGCATCTAAATCGTGCTTTCAGATAGCCAAAGGCCCCCTCGACCACAATGCGGGCCCTGCTGAGCCTGGCATTGAAGGCCTGCCGGGAGGGGCTGAGGTGTCCCGTGTAGGGCTTCAGTAGGCTGCATCTCCCAGCAGACACACTGGCATGTCCACATCCCCAACCCTGATGTGTCGGTTGGGGAAGAAAGTCCTGGAGTGCAGCCTCTGGCACACAGAGGAGTTGTGGTACACCCGTGTGTCGTGTCCCTTGCCGGACCAGCCCACACTGATGTCCATGAACTGGCCCTGGTGGTCAGACACGGCCTGCAGGATCATGGAGAAGTACCCCTTTCTGTTTATGTAGAGGGAGGCCTAGTGGTCAGGGCACGGATGGGGATGTGTGTCCCGTCGATTGCCCCCCGGCAGCTAGGGAAGCCCAGGG